AAGAAAGACGAAATATGGATGAAATTTTAAATCAGGACCATTTATAAAAAGACTATTCTCCTCTTCTCGACGAAGCCTTCTTGAAGAGTCATCGAAAGACATCTGAAAATCAGGCAGTTAAATCATTTTGTGCCCATTTTTTAGTGTATATATGAATAAAAAACAAAAAAAAAACAGCCGGCAATGAGTGAAGGTTCTAGACATCCGAGGTATTCGGTAGGGGATACCAAATTGAGCGGTCTCGAACCCAACGTTTTGCAGGATATGGAGACTTTATGGCTAAGAGGAAAGTTAGCATGGCTAACAGTATTCTGTATAGGAGGAATACCTCAGAATAATGGATATACTTAGTAAGATTAAGTAGGCTAGAAAAAAGCCTGCTTAAGCTTGAACGTGTGTCAATCTTACAGGATTGAATGCCAGTTTTTTTGGTAGGCATAAAGTGGCAAAACCAATTTTGGGATGTAAAAATTAACTTTAAACAATAAACAGGATTTAAAATGGCCACATTTTCTGGCTAAGTGATGGGATAAATTTTTCAAAAATGATATCTTTCAGTTCACAGATGGTAGCTCACACTAATGGAAGTAACCTCAACCCTAATGTGATTTTGTCACCTTTTGTCACTTTAAGTTGTAAAGGACTAGTAGTGGATCAGATAGTATCCCACTACAAAATGTGTTATAAGCAATTTTATTACCGGTTAATGCCTACTCATCTTGACTACCCTAAGACGACCAAAGCTATTGAACATGATCTATGATAACTTTGGTATCCTACTTTTTCCTGATTGTTGCAATTTAATCCATCTTTCTAAGCGTTTTTCTCTAGCCATGTCTTATCAACAACCCGACTCGGTAATTCCAATTACGAACTCAGCTCCTCTTCTCTGTTTACTTCATTAACATGTGACATTAACTCTCTCTCTCTCTCTATCTCAACAGCAATTTAGACATTGCGACCGGAATGATCACTAAATTGGCGAGACGGTCAAAGGAATCAGCTACATGACAATTTTTGCGTGTTTGCGTGTGATAATAGGGTGGGGTGGGCGGGCCAGTGGGTGTGCGTATGCATGAGCACGGATGTGGACTCGCAGATTTCCCAGTCGGAAACCTTTTTGTTCTTCCCAACCGGCTTTTCCGATCCTCCAATTGGAGTTTTGCGCGCCTCAAGTGGGATTGGCTCGGCCAATCTACGTAATGAGGCCCGAGTTAATAGTTGGGAGTCGTGGCTTAACAACTGAGGCGCCAAACCAAGTCACCTGTCCTCGAGACTGTTTGGTCCAATGGTCAGCCTGTTGTATCGATACATAGTCGGTATAAAACGCCAGTTGGTACCGGGACTTTTGACGGGGTTTGTCGGGGATCAGGGCAAACATAATCGCCTGTATGAGTCCAGGCTTGCTCACTCAATATTCTACCATTTCACTCCCAATTCGACTACATCTCTCCGGTCCAGATAAGCTTCGAAGAATTCGCTTCGGCTTCACTTTGACTAGATTGAGCCTGAAACCGAAATTCGCCTTCGATCAAGTGGGAAATGAACCAGACCATCTGGTTTGGCAATTTTGCGTCCGACTCATTGTGGACCGGATCCGGCGGAAAGTGTGGCAGACGACTCGGTGAACCGTCTAGACGTCTTAGAAAGCGGCGTCAACTTCATTCTCGTTTGCATTCTACGCCTGAGCAGTGGTTTCAGGGGCACCAGGGACAACAAGGTCGACGTCGGAGCCGAAATTCTCGCGACTCGAATCCTCACCAACCCGAGGAGTCGGGGCAGGATGAATCAAACCATTGCCGAACTGCATTGAGACTGGACGAAAAGACTCTGAGAATCACAAGCAAACAATGCGAATCGCAATCGGTTGCTTTGGAAGAGTTTTCATCCAGCCTTACTGAATTGCAAGAAGAACATGAACATCGCCGAGAGGAGATACGTGATATTGGAGAGCAAAATTATAGGATGGAAGTGAGGGGACGTGACGAAGAGGAGGAGGAGGGGGAGGAAGATGAGGAGGAGGAGGAGGAAGAGGAGGAGGAGATGGTATTAGAAGATCCGGAAGGAGATGAGGAAGAAGAAATAGAGAAAAGTGTGAGTAGAGAAGAAGAGGACGCGAAAGGCGAAGAGCGAGAGAACGGTGAACTGGAGAAAGGAGCGAAGGAGAAGAATAAGGTGGAAGACCGGCTGAATCATCAACCGGTCAGGATCAAGGAGGTTAGGAAGACGACAATAAAACGAAGAAATTATGAACCAATATTTGCAGCAGCCAAAAAAACGGCTCGATGTAACTGGCCTGGCGTCCAGTCAGATCAAATGGAGGATAAGAAGCCAAATGTTCAGGAGAGCAGGTGAGTAGAAAGCCCACATGTTTGCCCCCTCTGCCTACGGAACACGTATTTGATAGATAGGCCTATGATTCTCGTAATTTGGGGCTCCCTCAGGAAGTTAGCATCAAAGCGAAGCTGTACAGGAAGGAAAACCGATTTAGAGTTGGGCAGATCTTTTTACATAAATATGATCCATTATACAGATCAGTCGGTTAAAAAATTGTGGTATGAAGACCAAGATGGTGTAGCCTTTTGTGTGGTCGCAGTCTCCTTTCGTTGTATCGAGGTTGTTTGACCTTGTTTTCCCAACATGGTCATATTGGTAGGAAGGCTTATTGGAACGCACCTAGTCCGGGGTCCATTGTCTGTATGATCATTTCCAAAGTTGAACCGTGGACGTGATACATTCCTAAACGTTTCGCCGGCATCATAGTCGGCGAAACGTTTAGGAATGTATCACGTCCACGGTTCAACTTTGGAAATGATCATACAGACAATGGACCCCAGACTAGGTGCGTTTCAATAAGTCTTCCTACCAATATGACGATGTTGTAAAGACAAGTTCAAAAAATTGTGTGTTCATGCAACTCAATTTATGAATTGCTAATTTACATTGGAAATAAAAGTCGCCCCATTCACTGAAACATGACTTAAATCAAAAATCATGTTTAGGCGGAAGGAATCAAAAGTGGACATGAGATAGAGCAAACTAAGATTCACAATTGTGCCGATGAACTGATCCTCCAGAAATAACTAATTTTCCAGGAATCTCCTGTTGCAACCGTGTTGACTTGAACTTTCTTTTAAGTAAAAGTGTGTTCTAAAACGATCTCACATGGGATACGACAACGCAATCCCAAAGGTCTACTGCAATTTGCTTTTATTTCGATGAGTAGTTCGGCACAGTCCCTCAGGCACTCTTGTTTTGTTTTTAATGCAAAAGCGGTAATCTTTCATCTGGCATATGACAGACAACTTCACGCCAAAAAAACATTCTAATTGTTGAGCTTACTTCCATTTTGAGTGAAAGTGTTGGGTGAAGAGATTCGAAGGTCGTTTCCACCAG